GCAGCTGTGATGATTGCAATCTATCAGCTGCGTGCGCTTTATCCAATCATTGCTGCCAGAACCTCCAGACAGTGAGACAGACCTTCCCATTATGCAGCGCCTCAGACTTGTTTACTTAAGGCAACACGTCACCAATGCTATGTTGAAATAACCCTTGCCCCTAAGCCCTTCATGGAGTGGCCACTTGCTGATGTGTTTGATAGTGTCAATCACTCGAGTCTACCACTTTTGGGGCAAAAATGAGGATTGAGACGATCAGAGCGCACTTGTATACCAACTGCAACTTGTCAATATTCCAAACCCATTCGCAAGCATCTTGTGTCCCCCCGCGACCTGTAAAAAACAAAATGGCACCGAAGCACACACGTTGCCACTTGCCAGTGACTTGATAAGCTGATTCTGGCTTGGCTGCTCAATGTGCCTGCTAGCCACTACTTGCTAGCTTCATTGACAAACACAGAGTTGGAACTTAACTAGCTAGTAAAGTGATTTTGGGCGCTGATACAGCGTGTAAATTTACGATAGTTTGACAGCTTGCAGATGATGAAGTTGTAGACATGTTATTATTCTCAGAAATCAGTCCTGAGCGCGCAGCCAGACTTTCCCGACTCGATAGACTGTATGCAGTGCACTGACTAGTTTTTAATGCACATTTTTTTAACTTGAGAAATACTGACCTATTCAGCAAAAACGTCTAACTTACGCTCCACTGAGTAGTAGTGCTACTCTGCCAATCTCATGCAGGCCGTAGCCCAGGTCTGAGTTGTAGTAGGGTCCCACAGAATGCCCCCTCCCCCCATCCAAGGATATTTAAGAAAGTTTAAGCTCATTTACAGCATTTTTATCAAATTAAAAAACTCTGAAACGCTATTTGGTGAACAGCAAAAACAAGCAAAAATGACCCCAGCCATTATCACATTGGTTGCTGTAGCTTCATTCACCTCAGTCGATCTACAAACACATAACCTATTAGCTATACAATTAACCGCTACACATTAACTCACATTAACTCAGCACCAGGATTAAAAACTATAATTTAATACATAGAGGGATCTGTTAGCAGAAAATGTATTTTATTAACTAAAGATAAACAAATATGTTTGCTTTACATAACTTATTTTGCTGTTGCAGTTCTACAGCTAATTTCCTGGCATTCTACACATTTTGCCATGGGGTAGGGAGACATATTTGCCGTTTTAAAAGCGAATTTCCAACAAATGTACACATTTTACAATGACTTATGCCATGTTAATATGATATCTGAGTGAGAGTGACTAACAAAGTCAATGTGGGCCCCCTGGAGGTCAGGGCCCCTGGGTATGTGCCCTGCATGCCTGGTCGGTAAGTCGGCCATGATTACTACAAGTTTAGATAGTTGGCTAGACTAACTAGACTAATTTACCAATCTAAATTTTACTGACATGGGCTAATTGTGTGACTGACAGTGAGTGACATATAACAAGAGGAAAACGGCTATTCTACTATTCTAACGCTCAACAGTAAATTGAGACCCAGATTGAGTAAAAATTAATAAATATTAATGATAATAATAATATGTGTATATACAGTATACATTACTGAGGTTCTGACCTCGGTGTCCTCATATGTAGCTACGGTTCTGTCCTCATGGCGCTGTAGTCTATCCTTAAAGTAGTCGATCGATACTCGATCTATAGCCATGAATCCAGCTCCTGAGTTTTCCATGATCACCAGCAGAGGGTGATGAATGACTGGTAAAAACACAAATCAGACTCACTGCAAAACTTTAACATTCTGTATATTCATGTTTCCGAGATGTGGTACATCTGGTAGATAGAGGTGACTTTACTTTCTCTCATAACAAAAGAGCATAATTTAGCCTAGCAAGAGCACAATATAGCCGTTACATGTTAGGACTAATATTTATCCTTGTTGGTCCAGTTAATTCATAGTTTCAGCTGTGTTGAGTGTTAACTTGGCAACAGATCTGGACCCCCACCCCCACAGCCCCGGCATTGTGTAGCCTAGCTCCTTTTGTCCCAGCAGCAGGCTGCATCCCCACGAGGTACAGTATCTGCCCCCCCGTTGTGTGTAGAACTGTATCCCAACCAGCTGTCACATGACACCTCAGGGCATGTTTCAATGTTCCATCCAGTGATACAATGTTTTCCATGTGGATGTGGACATACTGTACTGTATACTGTTGTACTTGTGTATGTAGTCTATACTGTGGAGTTTATCTCCAGGAAAGGAACACTAAAGGGTAGTTAGGTTACCGCAGAAACAAGAATATAGGCTAGCTACTAGGCATACAAATTACTGTAATAGGTCATTGTCATCCCAAATATAATCCTGCATGGAGCTATAGGATCAGGCTATGTAGCATAATAGTTGGTAGCACTGCAGGTTGCACAGGGGCGAAGGTTTATTTAAAGTGACATCACCACACTGCGGTTAACACTTGGTCCTGATCACAGGGTTCTGCCTGAGTAGAAAACTGCTGACTGGAAAACTGAAGGCCTTTTGACGGTAATCGTTTCACACATTTCACATAGGCCTGCACAGCAACACTTTAGAAAAATGTAATATACTGGCAGAGAAAAAAAACAACGGGAAGGGGTGGGGCCGGGGGGGGGGGGGGGGGGGGGGGTCTATTTTCCACATCTTCCCATGTTTGATCCAACCAGTGGCGAGTCGTAGCAATTTAAAGTCAAGGTTAGCCATCACCATCAATGTATCCCCTTCCCCCTGCCACTGGCCCCCTCCCATACTCCCCGACTCCGCTCTCTTCCCTCCCGCTCCATGGCAGGGTAGCCGACGCTGCCACTTCTCCGGCCTCGGCGGTGATTGATCAGCAACGCTCCCTCGAAGGAGCTCTATATGGACGGCCGCTCGTTTATCTCAGATCACGCGGGAAATTAGGAATGAAGCCTTGACCCCGGAATGGTGGCCAGTCGGTCGCCACTTCCACTTGGGGCGCTTCTTCTCCAGGAACGTGAAAAACGCAGACAGAACAAAAGTAACGCTGACAGGTATAGTTTCTTGACACATTCACCTTAAAAGCATGTGATTGCAAATGTTCATGGAGTGTGAATATACGCTAATCTCCGGTAAACCTAATGATGAACAGTGCCATATTTAGGCCTACATATGAGGACACCAAGGTCCGGACCTCAGTAATTTCTTCAAATATATATATATATGTTTTTTTGTTTTTTTTACTCAGTGGGGTTTCAACTTACTGTTGAGAGTTATGAGAGTAGAATACACAAGGTGCATTTTCGAAACTTGGTTGTGCATTAGCAGTTGTTATATGTCACTCACTGACAGTCACTCAATTAGCCCATGTCAGTAAAACAAACATTTGATTGGTAGATAGTTAGTCTAGCCAGCTATCTAAACTTGTAGTAGCCTAATCATGTCCGAATTACAGACCGGGCACGCAGGACATGTGCCCAGGGGCACTGACCTTCAGGGGGCCCCCATTAGATTTTGTTAGTCACCCTCACTCAGAGACAGTGGCTTGCGAAAGACACTCCAATCTCTGCTGTGGAGCTTTGCAGCTCTTTCAGGGTTATCTTTGGTCTCTTTGTTGCCTCTCTGATTAATGCGCTCCTTGCCTGGTCCGTGAGTTTTGGTGGGCGGCCCTCTCTTGGCAGGCTTGTTGTGGTGCCATATTCTTTAAACAATTTTTTTATAATGGATTTAATGGTGCTCCGTGGGATGTTCAAAGTTTTGGATATTTTTTTATAACCCAACCCTGATCTGTACTTCTCCGCAGCTTTTTCCCTGACCTGTTTGGAGAGCTCCTTGGTCTTCATGGTGCCGCTTGCTTGGTGGTGCCCCTTGCTTCGTGGTGTTGCAGACTCTGGGGCCTTTCAGAACAGGTGTATATATACTGAGATCATGTGACAGATCATGACACACAGGTGGACATTATTTAACTAATTATGTGACTTCTGAAGGTAATTGGTTGCACCAGATCTTATTTAGGGGCTTCATAGCAAAGGGGGTGAATACATATGCACGCACCACTTTTCCGTTATTTATTTTTTAGAATTCTTTGAAATAAGTAATTTTTTTCATTTCACTTCACCAATTTGGACTATTTTGTGTATGTCCATTACATGAAATTCAAATAAAAATCCATTTAAATTACAGGTTGTAATGCAACAAAATAGGAAAAATGCCAAGGGGATGAATACTTTTGCAAGGCATGGCAAAATGTGTAGAATTGCAGGAAATTAGCATTTTAAACTGCAAAAATGTCTCCCCACCCCATGGCAATGTGTAGAATTGCAGGAAATACGCTGTAAAACAAAAAAAAAGAAAAAAAAAAACATAATTATCTGTAAAGCAAACTCATTTCTTTCGTTTTTGATAATAAAATACTTTTTCTGCTAACAGATCCCTCTGTACGCATTAAATTATAGTTTTTAATCCTGGTGCTGAGTTAATGTGAGTTAATGTGTACCGGCTAATTGTATAGCTAATAGGCTATGTGTTTGTAGATTGACTGAGGTGAATGAAGCTACAGTAACCAATGTGATAGTGGTTGGGGCCATTTTAGAATTTTACATTTGTATAGAAATGCAGTAAATGAGCTTAAACTTTCTTAACATTTATTGGATGGACCTCAATAAAACTCAGATCCTGTTTACGGCCCTGCTGATGAATGATGAATGATTTATATTGCAAGGTTTCGTGATAGGCTACACTAAAATACTGCGCAAGAAAACGTGCAATTTAGACTACTATATCTAAAAGCCTAATGTAGCAATATATTAACTAACCCCAGCATGTGACCACCAGGTCATCATATGTTCAAATTACCTTTATCCCCCTCCACAATGTTCCTCACCACAGATGTAGCCACTAAAATATTATATTCCCATCCAACCCCCCCCCCCCCCCCCCCCCCCCCCCCCCCCCTTTATAAATAACACAAAAGAGGTACAGAATCTGAACCATGGTACCATATGATTTATTGGGCAAAATGTATTCATGGCGTTATTACAAGATGGTCATCTGCCGGCCTCCGAGATACTGTAGGATCCTTAATAGTAAAGCATTGTCTAAGGAGGAGATAAGAAAAACATGTTTTGTATGTTACAAATCATGTGTTACTTTGTTGTGCGTTACACAGATCTGAGAACAGTGGGTGAGCATGCTATAGGTCAGAGGTGAGAGGGAACTGTATTGTTACAGGACTTACATTGCTGAGCCAGTCAGTAAAGGCTGAGATGCGGGTGAAGACGGTTGGTTTCTTCACCTCGTTGCAGACACGAGAGGACACAAAGCTGGTCACGCCCTGGACGTACCACTTACCATCAGCACCCTTACAGTTCAGAGGACCTCCAGAGTCCCCCTGTAGACAGAGATGGGGGAGGGGGATAGGAGAGATGGGGGGAGGGGGATAGGGGGAGAGAGAGAAAGTGTTTTACAAACATTGGTTATTATGAAATACAGGTTATGGTGAAAGTAATATTACTGTATTATCATAAGAACGTGATCTCAAGATATTTCAAGACTCACGTTGCATCCCGACACTTCACCCCCTCCAGCACAGATCATGGTGTCCTTCACCACCATGCCCCACCAGTCACTCTGCCTACACACACTGTTCCCCACCACGGGCAGCAGGGCCTGCTGCAGCTTATCAGGCATGGGACCATGGGCTAGAACAGGACAGGGAGGGTACAGTTAGACACTATACACTAGAACATAAACACAGGCCTCAGATGTAGGATCTTCATTTGATCACTCTTTTGTTGCTGAGAATTTTCCTGCACAGCAGAAAATGCTAACTTGTAGTGTATTCAAGGTTTAAAAAGGCTTCTAAAGTTTGTAAATTCCACTTTTTAAAATGTCAGCCTTAATTTGCCCAAAGAAAAATGTATCAACCCCTACAAAAAATTTCCATTAATTATAATTCACATAATAATTCACATTTCCTGTTGCTGCAGGATTATTTTCTGCTGTAGCAAACTGGCCCAAATTATGATCCTACGTACATCTGTATACAGTACAGTATGTCTATGTATCATATTCACTAATAGGCTTATATTGTATATGTCCACACCCCATATATCTTAAAGGGATAGTGTGAGATTTTGGCAACTAAAAGCTTTTTCTACTTACTCAGTCAGACAGATTAATGGATACCAAACTGCGTGCATTTTGAAGGAAATTGAATGTAGTTTCATGAGCCATTGCTAACTAGCATTAGCACAGTGACTGGAAGTTACAGGTACAGCTATCATGCTGCACGGTGAGATATAAAAATGGTATCAATAAATTCATCTGAATCTGGGTAAGTAGAAAAGGGGCTTAATCGCCAAAATCTCGCACTATCCCTTTAAAACTGTTGTGTGGCTTAACATAAACAGAGGCAAATATAGCCTTAAATGAAACTTCACATGCCACAAGCCCACAGTCTCCACACAGCCAAACATATAATAAAAGCCATTTACCAGACCCTTCTCCAAAGCAACTTACACTAGTGCATTCATATATTTTTCATATGGGTGGCCTCTATCTATCTATCTATCTATCTATCTATCTATCTATCTATCTATCTATCTATCTATCTATCTATCTATCTATCTATCTATCTATCTATCTATCTATCTATCTATCTATCTATCTATCTATCTATCTATCTATCTATCTATCTATCTATCTATCTATCTATCTATCTATCTATCTATCTATCTATCTATCTATCTATCTATCTATCTATCTATCTATCTATCTATCTATCTATCTATCTATCTATCTATCTATCTATCTATCTATCTATCTATCTATCTATCTATCTATCTATCTATCTATCTATCTGATCATACGTAACACAGAGAAGAATGATGTATCATAATGTGATATCTTACTGTAGAGGTTTCCCCAGCCAGAGATGAAGCATGCGTCTCCATGAGCAGGGATCTCTCCTGCCTTAGGAAGGCAAGCCAGACCAACGTTCTCATTCATGATGGGAGCCTTGTCCAGTTTCAGCAGGGCAAGGTCATTTCTGTGAGAAAACAAAATTAGTTGTTATAGTTGTAGTCATCCACATTCATGCTAGTTTGCATATTATGGTTACAGTTGCGGTATCCTATGTTGTTTTTGAAGACATAATGTTGCTATTGGTGGTAGTAGTGGCATTAGTTTAATCATGGTAGTGATGGTAATAGTAATAGCTAGCTGTTGCTGTGTCATCAGCATTTTTTGGTCTATCAGATGGATACTCACCCAGCAGCGACCATGTTGATGTCCCAGTCGGGATGAACCAGAATACGCAGCACGTCTCTGATCTGCTCAGTTCCCTCCTGTACACTCTGGTCATGCTCTCCCATCACCACACGGTACACATCTCCAGGCCTGCATGGGGAGGACACGCCAAACATCACAGAGAAACATTATCTTTAATGATATCTACAGACTTATGCTATAGTTATACTTTACCAATGTTCTGCTTCACATTTGTGACCTCAATGACCTATTTTTACTCACATTCTCTAGTAATACCTAATTCTTCCATTCTCTGGACCCATACTGGCACTTACCATACACAGTGTCCAGCAGTCAGGACCCAGCGAGAGCCAATCAGAGTGCCCCCACAGGTGTGATGCCAACGGCTGCCATGCTTCACCTGCATTGAAATCTAAGGATGCAGATGCACAGAGAGTACAACAGTTAATGACAAACATGATTAATGTATGGTTCAATGGACTTATACAGGGAAGTAATTCACTGTTTTCACCTGCCATGGCCAGCTATGGGCGCGGGCATCCTCTCCATTCACAATCCTGTTGGTGTTGGGCTCGAAGGTGGGAGTACCACACCCATATGCTGGGAAACATACCATCCACGGTTAGTAGCATGATATATTTGCGCAGATGTTATTGTGACAATTTGTGACTGTTATCCTCCCGTGAAACACATGTAAATGGCCATGTCAGAAGTCATGATGATATGTTTTTATTAGCATTATGTTGTCCTTAGTGCTCCGAGGCAGGTGTGTTACTCACCGTAGGCTGCCAGCAGCAGCAGGAAGGCCAGTCTCTCCAGCATGGTGGCAGTCTGTCAGTAATGTGGAACTCTGACCGACAGCAGTGAGCTCTTATAGTCCTGTCTGTTTGTCACTGCCAGGCCCAGCCGCAGACAGCACAGGCCGTCTGTGGAGCACTTATCATGGCATGTTGCCAATATTAGCTGGGAAGAACCTCCTGTTCCCCAGATGCTTACCTGGCACTAACCTGTACTGTACTGTACTGTACTGTACTGGAGTTACAAATGGAAAATGCTGACAGGGCAAAGGAGAATGGAAAAAGGGATTTAGGGGGGGACAGGTCATAGTAGAGAGAGGTTAATGTGAGGAGGACAAACTCTTATAAAAAAGTTTCCACCATTTACCAGAGGTTGGTAGCAGGCATATATACACTGTAACCGGCATATACTGTAGATACCGAGTACTTTACCGTAATTGACCAAGTAGAAGAGAAACAATCATGTAACAACCTTTTCTTTCTTTAATAAATAAAGTGGAGTATGTCTAAGTCGGGGCCGCGCTCCTGGTGAATCTGGAGCCAACTCTTTACGGCTCTCCCAGACAGTATATTTTCCTCCTTAGAGGAATTAGCAGTGTTCTCTAGAGGAGACAGCACACATCCATACATTTCCCCTTTAAAAGAAGCACAGCGAATCAACATTTGCCTGAACAGCTAAAAGGCTCTGTTTATTTTCTCGCTGTGTTATAATAATTCTCCAAGGCAGATATTTTGTGTACTGATTTATGGAGCAGACATATGATATAAAACAGGTTTTTTTCTAATGTATATGTCCTGTTCATGTTAGGCACATTAGGCAGGTATAGACAATAGGGAAACATTTGACAGACTTATGATTGATGATAGCTCCCTTCTGCTTCTCTCTGTCTCTGTCTCTGTCTCTGTCTCTGTCTCTGTCTCTGTCTCTGTCTCTGTCTCTCTCTCTCTCTCTCTCTCTCTCTCTCTCTCTCTCTCTCTCTCTCTCTCTCTCTCTCTCTCTCTCTCTCTCTCTCTCTCTCTTTCTCTTTCTCTCTATGTCTGTGTGTGACATGCTACCTGTCTATTCTCCATTTATTAGATATTTGCTAGGGTTCCATCTGACTTTCATCAGAAAAGTAGCAATTCCTCTCCAGCCAGTAAATATGTGTGCTGAAATGACTTGTCTATCCATAACCAGATTTTATTTTCTCCATTAGGTCGACCTTCAGAAATACTTCGTAAATCAAGACATCCTAGGAGAGAAACAGTTAGCCGGCCAGCCACAGTAGCTTGTCTGCTCGATGTCCACTCGTAGTTTAAGACAGAGATAAATGTTCTGCCTTCAACCTTCACAGTGAAAGGCCAACTGGCCAAGTATATCTGCTTAGTTGTTCAGATATGACAGAAATATGCAGTTAGGAGTCCAGAGACTGCAGGGGAAATCATTTCAAATGGACAGCTTTGATCCATAAATCATATTTAACTGGGCTGTCAGATAAACTGGTGAATGTCCTGTTTCCTGTCATTTACATGAGGGATATCAGTCATTATTGTAAGGCTAGAACATGGTATAGGGAATAAAGCAGCTACTCATGAATTAGTTCGTAAAATAACAGATGTTCGCCCCAGAGAGGAAAGGGGTGATACATCAAATTCTTGTTTAAGAAGGATTGGGAATTATATTTGGCAACAGGGACAAATACAACCATGGTTATGTGTTTAAGATAAATTCATGTTTTTACAGGATTTGGGCCCATATATTATAATCATGACTCATAGGCATGAATTTATGTTTATAACTGAATCCTTGATGTCCTGTTTCAGGTATGCTGTAATGTACACAGAATATATTTCAACATGATGGATGATTCAATTAAATAAAGTGGTGAATTCAACTTTTTCCACAAACATCTTCTCCTCCTTACATCAATCCATCACCGTCCATCTTCAGGAATGCCCTAGCTTACTGCAGATATTTCAGATATAAACACAATCAGCCCCATTTCCCATGAAGTGTTCCATCCTGTCTTTTTTTATAGAAACAAATTGATTAATTTGTAGCTTTGCCACCATCCCCTCTTCCTCCATCTGTCTGTGTCTACATCTGTGTATATCTACAGTAGCTCTCTAATGAGCAACACCAGTCTAAGGGTGTGAATGGAAAAGCAGAGTAAGATGGCAGCACCGTCATGACGCCTCCAGTCAGAGTGTGTTATGTCTGGTTGAGGCTCTGTGAATCACACCTCTCAGGCTTGTCAACAGTTTCCGATCACATTTACATGCAATCTCCCCCTCCTCCCGGTCTCTTTCTCTCCCCCTCTCCTCCTCTCTCCCCCTCTCCTGTTCCTAATTACAGTTTTTCTCAGTCGCTTTGGTGCATTTCTTAGATCAAAAGTGCAATTCTTGATACTACTTGTACAAATTCCAAATCATCTAGTCACTTGTGCACATCATTAAAGCAATTTCTTATTCCTTTGAACAAATTGCAATTGCTTTTGTACATATTGCAATTGATAATGTAAAAGTGTCAGCTTTTTTCCACATTTTCAATTGCTCATGTCATGTTGATCAAAATATAGTAGATGGTTCTCTGTTGAATAGTCTTACCCCTCAAAACATCTAGGCATTAGTTCCTTGCATAAGCCATTACATGCAAAATTGTTGAACTATTTGTCATAAACTGTCAAGCATAGTTTTACACATTTCTATTAGACCTTTTGTACAAAAACGTAAATTGCTGAATCGTGCAGGTGAAATTAACCCTCACTCATGAAGGAATGTAAAGTGTTAGTTCAACCAACAATCAACCAGTTGTCTAAATTGCTCAAAGGTGCATCTCATGAAGAATCAATTGGCAAGCATATATAGACAGACCACAACACAGAGTTGCAATTTTCCAATAATGGATGGACCAGGAAACGAACAGGGTCAACAGCCAAGAGGAGGAAGAAGGGGAGCAAGGATGCGTGGTGGAAGGCAAAACAGAGGAAGAGGCAGAAGAGGACATAGGCGCATATCTGATGACATAAGGGCCACTATTGTAGACCATGTTGTCAATCATGGCCTTACAATGGCTGAGGCGGGTCGAAGGGTGCAGCCGAATATTGGGAGATCAACCGTGTCCTCAATAGTACAAACGTTTCGAAGAGAGAACAGGTATGTCCACTAATGTACAGTGCACTGTTACTGTATATAAGCAGTATACTGTATACTTCCTACAATGCTTCATATTACAGTAGTCCACTTGTATTTCACAGCATACAGAAATATACTCTATACAGATACATACTGCACCTTACATGCACCCACCTGTATGTTTTACAGTAAAATGTGTGTTCGCATAGTTTTTTGTCTATGTGAAAGTGTGCGATGCATCACTGCATTTTTCCACACATAGGACTGCAAGATTACCTCAAACCGGTGGCAGAGGACGCCTTTTCACACCTCAACAGGAGGAGGCTATTTGCACCATGGTCCGAGCAAACAATGCCATGAGACTCAGGGAAATACAAAGGACCATTATAGAAGACAACGATGTCTTTGAAAACATCCATACGGTTAGCATCTCAACCATCGACAGGGTGCTGCATAGAAACCAGATGAGTATGAAACAGCTGTACCGTGTACCATTCCAAAGGAATGAGGACAGAGTTAAGGAGCTACGGTACCAGTATGTACAGGTAAAACATATATCTATGTAACTACTTTACAGCAACATTTTATAGTGTTACATAGTACAGTAAGCATAAACTGCACACATTTCCATTGCTGTGGAAGGAACATGCAATATATGTACATTTTATGTCACTCTTCCTTACCAAAACAAATTCAACTGTGTGTTCTGGGATATAGCGTATAATGGAGTTGGAATCAAGTGAACCCTCTCACAACTTTGTATACGTGGATGAGGCTGGCTTCAACCTGACCAAATGCAGAAGGCGGGGTCGGAATATCATCGGTCACAGAGCTACTGTGGATTTGCCAGGCCAACGGGGAGGAAATATCACCATGTGTGCTGCTATTTCGGAGCATGGTGTCCTAACCCATATCCCCCTTTTAGGGCCATACAACACCCAGCATCTACTCAACTTTTTAGAGACTCTCTACAGGGCTCTCATCCCTGATGATGAGAGGGGTCTGTTTAGAGAGGATTTGCCAAAGTATGTGGTCATTTGTGATAATGTGAGTTTCCATCGATCAAACATCATAAGGCAATGGTTTGTGACCCACCCGAGGATGCTCATAGAATTCCTCCCACCTTATTCACCATTCCTTAACCCAATTGAGGAGTTCTTTTCAGCATGGAGGTGGAAGGTGTACGATCGTCAGCCACACACACAGATGACCCTGCTGGCTGCAATGGATGCAGCATGTGAGGACACCACAGTAGACGCCTGCAGAGGATGGATAAGGCATTCCAAAAGATTCTTTCCACGTTGCATTGGAAGGGAAAATATCCGGTGTGATGTGGATGAGAATATGTGGGCTGACAGACAGGAACGTCTGGATGTGTAGAGACAGCACTAGAACAGTGCTGTGGGCAAAGTTGTGCCTTAGGGGTGGTTTCCTGTGTTTCTTTCTAATTTAGTTTTTTTTTCCTTTGTGCCCCTTGGGTTGTCCAGTCTCTTTCAATCAATAACCCACATACAGTAATATGTAAATAGTACTGTTGAAATTGATATATGCCATAGAAGTGCAGCCTTGTGCATTTTCAATACAGTAACTGTCATCCAAACTGTAGCCTAAGTTTACATCAGGTAATACTGTCAAAGTACACAGTTCCATTGACAACATGCCTAAACATTTTGACAACCTTGTTCGTGAACAATGACTCAATGACTTATCATTCTGATGACACTGACATGATCATTGGCATGAATATTTACTTTTGAGAGATGTACTAAGGATTTTTAGTGACTGACTAGCTTTAGAAACATATCTATTGTATATTGCAGTTTGTACAAATTGTTCTGAGAAATGCACTTATTATTTTGCACATGTTAGGGATGATGTGAAAAATGCACCAAAGCGACTGAGAAAAACTGTAATGAGAGCTCAGAGTTTTGGAAACTCTGAGTTGATCCCTCAGGTTCGGTTCTGTGCAACCTGATCCCACTCCAGTCCCCGCTCCTCTTCTCTTAAAGC